CCATCGCCGGGGCAACTAAGCCTCCTGCTTGCTCCAGCTCCGTGGCTGCTGGCCATCATCTTGATTGGGTTAATTTGAATATAGTCGCTCTGATTGGCTGGGGGGCATGGCTTGGGCATAGCGGAGGTGTGGTCAATTTGCATGTTTCTCTTTTATTAGATTACATTGTATTAGCCCTCTTTATAATAGAGCAACAATGTCAAGAATCTTTTGTTATGACTCTTTACTTTTATTGTAACTAATGCTATTCAATATTTAACATTAGGCCCCTTACATGAATTTTGTACAAGGGTCTTGGCCCTCGTAGCCCCCGCTTCATCCAGAAGGTCATCTGGAAGGTCGTTTTGCTGTCTGGCTTAGACAATTAGCATATTATGCTTTTATTATTATGAATAACATAGATTTTAAAGTGTCTGTCTTGAGTTTATTAATTAATACTAAAATAAAGTTGTTAGTTTAAAACCAATTGATGTTTTGGTGTGTGTGTGTGTGTGTGTGTGTTTTCAATAAAATCACAAATATACTCATATCTCTCTTGTGGGATAGTAATAGGTAATTATGCCTAGAAGTGCATATCTCTAAAATTCTGGAAAGACAACTTTAAGATTTAAAGCTTTTTATACTTGAATAAAATTTTTGTTATACTTTTAAGTATTGTATATAGTAGAGGCCCGGTGCATGACGATCGTGCACTTTTGCTGGTGGGGGGGGAATCCCTTAGCTTGGCCTACGCCCTCTCACAGTCTGGGACCCCTGGGGGGATGTCCAAATGACTGCTTGGGGAACTCCAGGGGAAGCAAGCTTAAGGTGCAATCGGACATCCTTAGCCCTGCCACAAAGGCGGGCTGTGGAAGCAGGCCACTGTGCTCACCAGCTGTCATCCTGGCTTGTAGCTGAGTGGCACTCCTCCTGAGGAAGTGCACTGACCACCAGGAGACAGCTCCTGAGTTGAACATCTGCCCCCTGGTGGTCAGTGCCCATCATAGTGACTGGTCATTCCACCATTCAGTTGATTTTCATACTACCCTTTTATTATATAGGATGTGCACTTAGTTTTAAGTGTAAATGTATACATGTGTATGCATATATACTAAGTATAAATAAAGTATGAAAGTATCATGTTAATTTTATAGTAATTAGTAGGAAAGCCAAAGTGTTCAAAATAATTGGGTATACGTGAGGAAAAAAGATATCAGGAACATAATCTTGTTATTTTGTGAGATTAAATATAGATACTTTATTTTACTTAAGAGATGCTTACTTGGAAATGGGAATGCTAAATCAATTGATGTAAGATATCTATGGACATATAGTCCCAGAATAGTAATGTAATCTTTATGAACAATTTACTATTAAGGGCTTATTGATTGATTCTTTTATCTTTTTGAAGTTCTGTTTTTGGTTTTGTCCAAAGCAATACCCAACATGCACCTCAGTCTTACACCCTTGAGTTGACATATCATTCAATGTACATTTTAACTATTAAACACTATTTGCTTGTCTTTGGGGAAATAATCAAACTATTTTCTGGGAATTAACAAAGAAATTCAGTAGGAAAATAATAATAATGGCAGAAAGGGAGCCCACAGAACAGTAAAGAAGAAAAGTAGTACGGAGAGTTCAAGCTCCTTTGCCAGGGATGTTCAAACATGTTCATCCACTCTGCCGAACTGGCTACTTAGGAAATCAACAACCAACGTTGAAAGGGTGTCTTTAAATAAGATGCACCTTACCATGCTAACATATTGTCAGAGAGAAACATGTTGGGAGTGGCAAGTGTGCCCATATAACTTGTCATTTTCTTATTTTCACACTTTTAACCTACCTAACATTAGATCATTTTTTATTTTTTGGTTGTTAGAGGTAATGTGTCAGATAAGCTGAAAAATAGTTAACATAGTATAAAACTTTTCAAAGAAGGTAAAAGGACCAAGACCAACAGGAGCAGAAAATGACATAAAAGACTTCAGGAGTAAAGGAATCTAAGCTGTTTTTCCTTTCTTGGGGAGAGAGGCAGATATGACACTCAGCTATAATAGGAGTCTAAGTGGGAAGTTGGAAGTGGTCTCATTGAAGCCCTTACCTACTGAAACCATAATTTTCCCCACTTGCAAACAAGCACATAAACACATAAACACACATTCATTCCAAAAGAATTCTAAACTTTAAAGATAAAAACTTTTGAAGTGTCGTAAATTATAATTGTCTCATTTATTCCTGAAGCTTTTTCCACTAAGAATCTTCTAATTTACATTATTTAATATGCTTCCTTCTCAACAACTAGGATTACTATATAATTAAAAATATTAATTTGGAGAACTGTGTCATCTAAGAATGACTTTGGTTGTTATGATTCAGATAATCTGCTGTATCAAAAAATATAGACATATCTATACTAATAAAAGGGTAATATGCTAATTAAAGCAGACGTCTTCCAGATGTCCATCCAGACAAAGCCACAGCCGCTGTGAGGGCCTAGGGCCGGCGCCGCATGGGAGAGGTGGGCTGGTCCGGCACTGCCAGTCCAGCACCACAGCCCCTTTTGCAGAGGGGGCGAGAAGGTGGCGCCATGCCCCTTCTGCAAAGGTGGTGCGGGACAGGCTGCAGTGTGGCCGGTCCCAGTGCTGCCCCTTCTGCAGAGGCAGCCACAGAGGCGCAGACAAAGCCACAGCCGCTGTGAGGGCCTAGGGCTGGCGCTGCATGGGAGAGGTGGGCTGGTCCAGCACTGCCAGTCCAGCACCACAGCCCCTTTTGCAGAGGCGGCGAGAAGGTGGCGCCATGCCCCTTCTGCAAAGGTGGCGCGGGACAGGCTGCAGTGTGGCCCGGTCCCAGTACTGCCCCTTCTGCAGAGGCAGCCACAGAGGCAGCAGCATGGGCCCGGTCCAGGCGCCAAACCTCAGCAGAGGCTGGATGGTGTGCAACCTGCTGTGCCTCAACCTCCCACAGCCCCTCCTCCAGCCACCCTGGCCCCAGATCGTCCCCCACCCACCAGTAGGTGGGGAACAGGGCCAGTGCTAAGAAGCGAGAGCTGAGGGCTGGCCACTGAGGTAGCCAGCAGTGGCAGCAGCAGCAGGGTGATGGGGACAGCGCCTTTCCCTGATCATCCTGGTCGCCTCCCACAGAGGAGGACATCCCCTGAAGGCTCCTGGACTCTGAGAGGGATCAGGCCGGGTTGAGGGACCTCCACACTCCAATGCACAAATTTTCATGCACCAGGCTTCTAGTAGATATATAATGGAAATAATAAGACAAGCTTTGATTTTTATTAGTCATGGCTAATTAAATTCTGACCCCAGATCGTCCCCCACCCACCAGTGGGCGGGGAACAGGGCCAGTGCTAAGAAGCGAGAGCCGAGGGCTGGCCACTGAGGTAGCCAGCAGTGGCAGCAGCAGCAGGGTGATGGGGACAGCGCCTTTCCCTGATCATCCTGGTCGCCTCCCACAGAGGAGGACATCCCCTGAAGGCTCCTGGACTCTGGGAGGGATCAGGCCGGGTTGAGGGACCTCCACACTCCAATGCACAAATTTTCATGCACCAGGCTTCTAGTAGATATATAATGGAAATAATAAGACAAGCTTTGATTTTTATTAGTCATGGCTAATTAAATTCACAGTAGCTTTTAAAATTCTAATATCAGGCGTTTGCTTGTAAACATTTCTTTACGTGAAAACTCAACTTTAAAAATTTAAAGAAAAATATTTTTCATGAATAATCCTCAAATAAAAATAAAAAAGAAATAAATGAAGCCAAACTAATTTTTAAACTGTTTTAATATTTAATGATTTAAGTGCTTAAATGTTTAAGTCAAAATAGTTTCAAAGAACATTAAAAACTTGGTTTTAAATATTTGAGGTCCTCAGATCTCTTAATCTTCTATTATTTTTTCTTCTCTTTCAATTGTAACTTTTCTTCAATCATTTTTCCACATTTCTTAAATGTCCACCTTAGTAAAATAGTACATATACTAAATAAACATAGTTCTGTGTTCCTTGTATTTAATTTTTTAAAGTGAGTTGAAGGTTTTCTATTTCATTTCCTATAAACTATAATTACTTCTGTTCACACAAATGTATTTAAAATAAATATATTTTTTTAAATGTTGCTATATCATTTAAGTTTTACTCTTAGTGGATCTAAGGCTTTAAAGTAGGTTTCCCATTGGTAAACTTATATTTAATTAGCAAACATTAATGTAGCTATGTCTCTGCTTCAAGTTTCAATGTAGGTTCTAGGTTAAAAACAAACAGCAAACCAGGAAAACTGTATTTATTAAAGCATATAAACCTAACACTGACCTTTATTTTTTTTTTAAAATAGACTGGTGCCCTAACCGGTTTTGCTCAGTGGATAGAGCATCAGCCTGCAGACTGAAGGGTCCCAGGTTCAATTCCAGTCAAGGGCATGTACCTTGGTTGCGGACACATCCCCAGTGGGGGGCGGGGTGCAGGAGGCAGCTGATCGATGCTTCTCTCAGTGATGTTTCTAACTCTCTATCCCTCTCCCTTCCTCTCTGTAAAAAATCAATAAAATATATTTTTAAAAATAAAAATAGAGTGGTTTACTTCTCTATGTGTAGGTTATGCTTATCTACACTACAGAAAGATCTGCATAACTACTAAAAGTTGGGCTCTGGAACTCATAGAGCATATTACAAATACATACTCCATAGCATAAAAGGTGCTTATTTATCATTCATTATACATCATTATTCCAAACAATGATAAGAATTATTGACCTTACATAGCTTACAGGTCATTAAGAAACAATTTAGTAAACAATGGCCCAAAAAAGAAGGTACTAGATGATTAGATTAGATAAGTACAGGGAGCTATGAAAATATATACCAACTCCATATAATGTAGTCAGAGTGGAGAATGGTCAAGGAAGTATATTCCTCTAAATGACATTTAATCGGCACCTGAAAAATAAAACGTTAAAAAGGTGAGTAATAAAGGGAAAAAAAACAAAACAAAGTTTGTTAAACTGTGTCAAACAATAAAATTAGAGGCCTGAGAAAGCATGACACATTTAAGGAACTGAACAGTTTAATGTGTCTGCATCATTACATACATGAAGTGGGGGAGGAATGAAGAGGAGCCAGGACACGCAGGGTCTGGTAGAAGCCAAAAAAGGGTTTAAGCAGTGAAAAGCCACTGAACGGAATTAGGTAATGACTAATGTGACCTGATATGAGGATTAGAGAGTCACTACGTCATAATATGCAGAATGGACACTGGCAGACAAAACTAGAAACAAACAAAAAGATTATTGCAGTAATCTAGGGTAATATGGAGATATGAGGGTGAATTTCAGAAAAATGTATGTAGTAAAATTGAAAGGACTTAAATTAGTGTTTGAATATTGAGGGTGAAAAAAAAATGGAAGAAGTCATGGTTGACTCCAAGGCCTCTGGCTTAGACTGGTGTGAAAATGTTCCTGTCATTAAGTTAATGGAGATTGATGGGCCTTGAGATGTTCAAATAGTGATGCCTGATAGGTAATCCACTGTAATAAGATCTAGGCTAGAAATGAGGGCTTGGGAGTTATCAATAAATTGAGGGAAATTAAAATTATGGAGTGGATGAGTTCAGACAAGAATTGTGTGTGATAGAGGATCCACACAAACTCTGAGGAACAGAAGAGGAAAGAGACACGACAGAAAAGACTGAGGAAGAATGGCTGGAGAAGTAGATAGAAGTTCAAGAGGGTCTTATGTCATAGATCCTGAGGTTAGCGAATATTTCTAAACGAAAACACAGGTCAACAATGAGCAAACTTGATAGTTAAAATGAAAGTTAAAAAGTTCTCATTATATTTAACCAGAAGAAAGTCCTTGGTGACATGGTGAGAGCACTTTGGTGAAACAGTAGAAAAAGCAGAAGCCAAATTTCAGAACTTGAAGTGGAAGGTAGGAAGAGGAAAAAGGAAAATCAACATTTTTAGGAAGTTTGACTTATAAGAGGTGGTAAAACACATGGGCAGAAACTAGAAACCACAAGTGGTTGAGGGCAAGTTTTCCTGTAGTTGCTGATAGAAAAGGAAACAAGAATAAGAGATTAGAGAGGAGGTAATCAACAAAGGGATTTTCTTGAAAAAAATTAAAAGGGATGTAATTTTGACTGTAGACTTGTAGATTTTATTTAGACAGAAAGAGGAATACTGTTTTAATGGAGACAGGAGAAGAGGAAAAAGTATTAAGATGCAGACAAATATGTAGACTCAATGGTAGAAAGTTCAGGAATATATCATCTAATGTCTTCTCTTAAAAAAATGAGCAAAAAAAATAAACTCCTCTGTTAATGGTGACTAAGAGGTGCAGGGAGAGAATCATTGAGGAGATAAAAGAATAATTTCTGTCTGAAACAGCCACTATCATGAATGGGAGATGACTATGGAAATACAGTTTGAGTGACCAGGTAGAACCAAGAACTCAGTTGAGGCTGATTGCCTGTATTTATAATGACACAAATTGACACCAGTATCATCAATATCACCAAAATTTTTTTGTAGAAACAAAGTTTTTTTACAAAATTTCATAAATAAAGAATATCTGTGGACATTTTTTATTGAAAAGCATACCTGTGATTAATTTAGAGGTCATCATCTGAAGAAATCACGTTTTGACAAATATGGTAACTATGAGTTTGACATGTTTCAGAAAAAACACCCTTCTTTGTTATCACAGCACAGGCATTGTCTTCATCCTTGCTCTTGACTTCACATCTGTAGAGGAAAAGGCACATTGTTCTCACTCTGCTGAAAGCACAATTGTGTGTGTATTTTGTGTGTTTTCTCTCTTCTTAGAAAAGAATGTACTATTCTCCAAGCTGGAGGTCTAAGACATTGTAATATTCAGACAAGAAATACACAGTAAACAAAGACTTATCTAATGAAGAAATTGCTCCAAATAGCTTTTTAACCCAAAATGGTCATTTGTAAATAGAAATACTATGTGGAATAAAAATGTGAATAAGAAAGACTGGTTTCCAAATGCCATTTGATTATTGAAGTCTAGTATATTATTCCTTAGAATTTTTAATTATTAGAATCCTTTTAGTAAAAATGAGGATTATTCTATAACTTTTGAGAAACATTTCATAAGAATTTAAATTTAGACAATTTTATATTGACTACAATTTCTATTTATACCTCTAGTGTTATAGGTAAGCTAAAAGAAAATGCAAATATGAAAATAAATGAGCTTAGAAGCCTTCATTTCTCTAAGGAAAACTTCCTACACACACACATTAACAAATATCAAATTCTGCAACCTACCAGTATAAGAACCAGTTGTCTATCTAGAGTTTCTGAAAGCCCCCAGTAGGGATTGGCTGCTGAGCTTTTATATATCCTAATGGTATTCAAATGTCAAACACTCACAACTGTGGATTTAATGGGGTGCCATCCAGCCAGGTCCATGTCTTTTGTGGATATGTAATGTTCAATCCAATCCAAAAGTAGATTCCATCTTGTATACTATTTTGTATGAAATCCTGTGAAAAGGGATACAGAGAAAATTAAGTGAGTTACACCTATTAAAACAGTCTCTTCTACTTTTTTCCATCTGTAAAAGGTTTTGATATTTATCTCCCTCATCAGGAAAATCTTAGGAAAGTTAAAGATGTTTTCTACATATGTAGGCAAGGAAATCAATGTAGGAAGAAATTCAAAATACATGACTTTATATGAAAGCATGCACTGCTTAATGGAACTCATGAGGATGGTGATATAAACAGCAACTGATGAAAGGGTGAAAAGAAGATATGAAGCAAAAATGAGGAATGAATAAGTCTGTTTAAAGAAGCAAGAACTGTACATGGATTGCTCTATCTACCAATGTGCAATCTTGTAGAAGACTGAAGCTTATGGTGAAACTTCACACAAATGAAACAAGAGCCCTATATTTCCTACCCAATATATTAGGATATTGCCAAATATTTGTAGTGCTTTTGATGAGTACCTCAAAGAGCTCCTACCTTTCTCTCCAAAAAGGATGGCATGGATATCCTAGCTTTGTAATTTACTTAGGAAGTGAAATAGACAAGTTTATAAAAACTGTCAATTTCTGCAGATTCTTATGAAAATGAGGAAAATACAGTCACCTGTGTCATAGGTTACTGTGAGCACTAAGTTATATAACATTTGTAATGCATCTACCATAGTTCCTACCATATGACAGGAATTCAAATGGCTGTAACTATTCATCTATAATTCCTGGATTATGAAATGTACCTATTTCTCCCAGTTTTCATTTTATTTATTTTTTTCTCTCCCATAGTATATTTTTTCACACATAGTAAATTAGCTCTTACCAGTTCAGCCTTGTCTTGGATCATCAAGAGTTGTGATTTCATTCTTAAACAGAATTGTTGGCTATCAGTCCATGAATTAAAAGTTTTAAAAAAGTTATAGCATTTCCCTTTCTCCTGCACCCAGTCATTAGGGCATAAGTTTAGTCTAGGATTTCCTGAAATGAAAACATAGAAAAAGTAGGAATGAGAACAAGGTGTGAATATAAAAAAACAGTTTTTGCACTAATTTTATAAACTGTTTTCTTAAAGTTAACTATTTGTCCCACTTTCAAGAAATAAACTTCCTCTCTACTGATTAATAATCTTTAGAAGAGATACATGCAAGAAATATTCAGTTATTATTTGTTGAGTTATTACTACATCAAGTAATTCTCTAAATTTTTATGTACATGAATACATAAAATGTTTTTTTCCTATAAGAAACATACAAAATCCATGAAATGATTAACTCCATCTTCCTCATTTTGTAACTAAAGATACTAAAGGTTAAAGTTAAGTGAAGTTAAATATAAACTTGGAAACTAAAGGTTGAATGACTTACTCAAAGTTATATAACTAATAAGTGGTGGGCATAGGGAAATTTAAAGTAAAACAGAGAGCTTGAATGGCATCAGAAGAAAACTACTGTGGAAAAAGAAAGTCATTTTCAGAGTCCCTTTTAACTGCAGAAGAATGTATTTCATAACACACTGTATTAGCGACTTCGTAAAACAAATTGTTCAACATGACCCCACTATCTATGTGCCTCAATGTCCACCAGACTTATCTCTGTAAAAAGGGAAAAGGTGGAATAGGTATTAAAATAAATCTATACTCAGAAATGAGTACAAAAGGTTTCAACTGAACTAACATTTTCTATTTTAAGTTAAATAATAGGTACATAAGTATTGAATGTATTCTATTTAAATGTTTATATCTTAAATATTGCATATTATTTTTAAAATATCCACAAATTTGTATAAAAACTTACCTGATATTCTTATATTAAATGAGATAAACATGAAAATAAAAAGATACTGTATAGAAAAGTTAGTTATTACCATTAAAGACTATGGGAGCTCTTTGGGAGACCATATGAGAAATCATATTATTTCAGGAAAACATTAATACTAAGTTTATGTTTTGAATCAGCAAAGCATCTTGATTCTTTACAACCCTTTTCCCAAGGCATTTTATTTTATAAGTAGTAACAACAAAGTGGTCATTGAAATAGTGTATTAATAAGCTAGGCTTTAACTGCATTGGCCAGGAAAAATATTCAACAAGACACCGAAGACCAAAGCTAGAGAAAAATGTTAGTTTTCCTGATATTCAGTACCATAAATTATTGACAGAAATAAATAACTTTAAGGTCTCACGCTTATTCAGATATTGACCATGATATGCCCTTTGTGATGGTAGCATTTAGCTTCTACAGTAAAGCATCAATTATTCACTTCACTCTTTTTTTTTCTTGCCTGAAAGTCACATACCACAGCAATAGAGAAGTCCATGCTTCTGCCAGAACAATACAAAGAAAATAAATTAAACTGTTGAAAATTAACTACTGGGGATCTAGCCTGCAACCCAGGCATGTGCCCTAACTCTTCTTTTTTTACTTGCCCGAAAGTCACATACCACAGCAATAGAGAAGTCCAGGCTTCTGCCAGAACAGTACAAAGAAAAGAAATTAAACTATTGAAAAATTAACCACTGGGAATCGAGCCTGCAATCCAGGCATGTGCCCTGAACAGGAATTAAACCAGTGACCTCTTGGTTCATGGGTTCGACGCTCAACCACTGAGACACACCAGCCTGACATCAATAAATAATTCTTGAGTACCATAATGCTGGGATCCCCCCCATCAAGAGAAGGCCTCCAAATGGTCCAGAAAAGACACACCAGCCTGGCATCAATAAATAATTCTTGAGTGCCATAATGCTGGGATCCCCCCACCCCCATCAAGAGAAGGCCTCCAAATGGTCCAGAAAAGCCTAGAAAAGTACATGTGTGGAGAGGAATATCAGAATTACCACAATAAGGAAGTACTTTGTTGACCTATTAAAGAGATGTGTTGTGAAGACTAAAAAAAAAAAGTCTTAAGGGTAACCATAAACATGCACATTACTTAAATTTTATATTGTTTTTAAAATATGTTTTTACTTAATATGGAGAGGAATATCAGAATTACCATAATAAGGAAGTTCTTTGTTGACCTATTAAAGAGATGTGATGTGAAGACTAAAAATAAAAAAAAAGAAGTCTTATGGGTAACCATAAACTTGCACATTAAACTTTAATATTGTTTTTAAATATTAAATTTTATATTGTTTTTAAAATATGTTTTTACTTATTTTAGAAAGAGAGGAAGGGAATGGGATAGAAAGCCATAAACATCGAAGAGAGACATCATCAATTGGCTGCCTCCTACACGCTCCCTATTAGGATTGGAGCCTGTATATTGTATTCTATCACTCTTATAGCCATTGATAGTTAATGATAATACATTTGTTAATTATCCAAACTTAACGTAAGGACTGGAAATATATTTTAGTATAATTCTTTGTATTTAGACTGTGCAAACACTTATAGTTTGGGGTAGATATTTTACTTAAAACTTAGTTGTAACTTATGAGAAAATGTTAACTTTTATCCTCACCGAGAGAGAGAGAGAGAGAGAGAGAGAGAGAGAGAGAGAGAGATCTGTTGTTTCCCATATGTCCCCAACCAAGAATTGAACCAGCAACCTAGGTATGTGCACTGACATAAACTGAACCTGCAACCTTTTGGTTTACAGGACAATGCTCCAACCAACTTGAGCCACCTGGACAGGTGAGAAAATATTAACTTTTATTTTACAATAAGCACATATAAGAAAAAAATAAGCACCCTAATGTTTTTTTAAAAGGGGGCAAAGATGATTAATAGGCAATTTATAGAACAAAAATTATAAATATCCAACATTTGTCTTTACATTTAATTTCCCTATTATATAAGAAGTGCAACTAAAGTCAACCATGATTTTATTATGATTTTTATCATATTATATTAGCATGTATAATCTGAACTGTGTGTGTGTGTGTGTGTGTGTGTGTGTTAGAAGGGTTCAGCAGGTAAGAAGATGAAATGGAGAAATAAATATTCAAAATAGATGTACTTTTTGATAGCAGCACAATTTACAGTAGCTAAGATTTGAAAACAGCCTAAGTGCCCATCAGCAGATGAGAGGGTTAAAAGACTATGATACATCTTCACAATGGAATATTATGCAGCTGTGAAAAAGAAAGAACTCTTACCATTTGCAACAGCAGGGATGAACCTGGAGATCATTATGCTAAGCAAAATAAGTCAGTCAGAGAAAGATAAGTATCACATGATCTCACTCATATGTGGAATCTAATTACCAACATAAACTGATGAACAGAAATAGACCCAGAGACATAGAAACATCAGACTGTCAAATCTCAGAGGGAAGGCAGGGGAGGGTGGAGGGTGGGGGGAGAGATCAACCAATGAACTCATATGGGTATAGGCATACCCCAAGGACACAGACAATGGGTTGAAACTTGGGGGTGAGGGGGAGAAGGCAGAGGGCAATGGGAGAAAAAAGGGACATATATAATACTTTCAACAATAAAGATTTTTTTTAAAAAAAAGAGAGAGATGGGCTTGATCAGCATGAATAAGTTGAGAGAGTATGCTGCCTCATTACTTCATAAAGGTTTGTTTTGCTGGAGACTAGTACAAAGGAGAGCTCTGTGTTGTGAGAAAGTAGACTGCTATTATAGGAAGTGAGGACTCAGAGGACATTGTAGAATATGTTAATGTGCTTCGGCTTTATTCTAAGGACTACAGAAAGTGATTATAGAGTTTTAACAACAGGAATGCCCCGGCCACTGATCTGCATTTTAGAAAGATCCTGCTAGCTGAAGCCTGGAGAATGAACAGAGAGCTCCTCGCAACTCCCTTCTTCATGAGATGCAGTGATCACCAAAGACCTTACAATTAAATCTTTTGACACTGTAATTTTTAAAGAATGACGTAAAACATCTTAATTGCATATTAAAACAAATAATAAGTACAAAAACAGTAATCACTATAGTATGGATGTGGCATCTAATGGATAAAAAAATAAGCACTGTAAGTACTAGTATAATGTCCTTGGGAAGTAAAGGGCAATCTTATCAACAAAACTAGTGTAGGCCAATGTGTCTCACATTTTTCACCAAATCATCTCTAATGATAAAAGACAATGAACTTGTTCCTTAAATTCCTATGCACAATATCCTGAAAAATTCATTTCATCTTAAATTTTCATGCAACTATTACATTCTAACCTTTACTGTATTTGTGAATTAGATTTAATACACTATTTAGATTACTTTCCATTAAATCATATAAATAATGCCTCTTGCAGGAAGCTACTATAGACCTCTGTTAGAAAAGATTGTATTGGTTCAAACTGCAGGTGCAGTGCCATATAACTATCCTTACAATCCCACACATTGATCATGAGATTCTTGAGAGCAGAAAATTTTTCTCAAATTTCTTGTCAGTAAAATAAGTATTTTGTATACATCTAATCCTATATAATAAAAGGCTAATATGCAAATCGACCAAATGGCAGAACTACCCGTCGCTATGACATGCACTGACCACAAGGGGGCAGACGCTCAATGCAGAAGCTGCCCCCTGGTGGTCAGTGCGCTCCCTCCAGGGGAGCACCGCTCAGCCAGAATCCCTGAGCCAGGCTCAGGGCTGGCACGAGTAGTGGCAGGAGCCTCTCCCACCTCCACAGCAGCACTAATGATGTCCAACTGCAGGCTTAGGCCCGCTCCTCACGGGAAGCAGGCCTAAGCTGTCAGTTGGACATCCCCTGGGGGCTCCTGGATGCAAGAAGGCACAGGCTGGGCTGAGGGACCCCCCTAGCCACCCCGAGTGCATGAATCTCATAAGTATATAAAGTCAAATAAATAAATTAAAAATTTGGAAAATGGGAAGAGATAGCCAGTGGTAGGTTTGTTGTCAAGGGGATTACATACTTGAAGTAGGGGCAAGTTGGCTATTGGAGACAGTGGTATTTGAGAAAAGTTTTAGCAACAGTAAGGTAAGCAAGTCAGCAGTAAGCATAGTCTAAGCAGTGAACCTGAGCAGATTTACAGAAAGCCGAATGGGAGGGAAAGATTGAAATTAAAAAAAAATCATCTTCAAAATATTGAACGGTATCTGAATACACCAGACAAAAATATTTCATTTTGATATAAGAATTACTTTAAGCTAAAGACATTTGAGATTCAGCAGATGTTCCTCTAAGTTACTCTGACCTGACTGAAAGAAAATTCTGAGAAATGAGGGGGCCATAAATTTTGTCTTTGGGGTGATTTATTCTCAGGAAAAAGACTGAGAGGAAACCCACAGTAAGCCCACTCTCTGGGAAGTTTTATGGTCATGAAGAAGAGAGAAAGACTAATTTCACCAGCACTAACAGACACTGTCACATACTTTCTGCAGTTTGTACTTCTAAAAAAAAACACTTGCCTTTCCTAAAGAAAGGAGCTTTGCCCATGGAAGTCATCTCTTCCTCCCCTTTTCCTCTCCTAAATTAGGTATATGAGGCTTTAACTTCAAGCATTTTGAGCTAGCCACTTCTTTTGTTAGTTCCAGTATGTACATAAACATTTTTCTCCTGTTAATTGTCCTTTTGTCAGTTTAATTCACAGTCCCCCAAGTTTTAACTTTAGAGGGTAGAGGGAAAGCTTTTTCTTCCCTACAATATAATGAAATAGAATCACTTACTTGTGAAATTTGTATTACATTCTCTGGTTCCATTTCCACTGAAGGGCCGTAAGTTTGGGTGACATACTAATTTAAGAAAAAGAATAACACTAATTAGATTTCTATAATTATAAAACTGTGGCTTTTAATTATCCATTGAAATGAGCCTACAAGTGAATGCATAAACTTCTGGTTGAAAGTAAGTCTGTTTATAGTATTTCAACCCTCTAATTTAACAAAGGATTGATTATTTAGAGATAGATTTCCACTTGTAAAAAAGTAAGTAAAAACAAAAAATAAAACAAATTATCTAAGTAAAATTAAAACATACTTAAATTTGCATCTGTTTACTATGGTAGGTTAAAATTATTTGTGATCTTGAACTAATTATGAAGCCTCTCTGTTTCTCAGTACTTTCATATATAAAAGGGAAATGCTTAACAAACAGACTTGTTGTAAGACTAAAAGAAAATGTATATAAAGTGTGTATCCCAACTCCTAACACACAGAAAGTCACAACAAATAGAAACAATAACAGATATAATTATCCATATCTCTTATTCAGTAGAACTCATCTTAAAAAAAAATCTTTTTAATTGAATTTATTAGAGTGACATTGGTTAATAAAATTATGTAAATTTCAGGGGGTACAATTCTATAACACATTATCTGTATACTAGAGGCCCAGTGCATGAAATTCCTGCACAGGTGGGGTCCCTAGGCCTGGTCGGCAATCTGGGCAGATCGGGTTCCCTGTCTCCCTGCCTCCCTGCCTCCTCCTTCCCTCACCGCCCACGCACCACCATGGCACAGTTTCCCACCTCTCCGCCTCCCCCCCCATTCCCTCGCCACCCACGTCTGCTACCACCCACACCCAGTTCCCCGTCCCAGCCTGGGGCCCAGCCCTGATCAGGCAATCGGGGCCTACCAGCTTCGGGGAGGAACCAGGAGGTTGGCCAGCAGGCCCCATTGGCGATCGGGATCTGCGGGCTCAAAACAGCTCCTGTGTTGAGCATCTGCCCCCCCTGGTGGTCAGTGCACATCATAGCAACTGGTCGTTCCAGTAGTTCCGTCTTAACGGTCACTTAGGCTTTTATATAGATAGATTGTATTGTGTGTTTACCACCCAAGTCAAGTTTCCTTCCATCACCATTTATCCCCCCTTTACCCTCTCCTACCTCCTCACACCCTTTTCCCTCTGGTAATCACTATACTGTTGTCTGTCTATGCGGGGGAGGAGGGGGATTGTTTGCTTTTTTTTTTTTTTGCTTAATACATTCAACTTTATCACTAGCCTCCCCACTCCTTCCCTTCTGACAGCTGTCAGTCTGTTCTCTGTATTTATGAGTGCTTCTATTTTGTTAGTTTATTTTGCTCATTATATTCCACAGATAAGTGAACTCATATGGTATTTGTCCTTCCCTGACTGGCTTATTTCACTTAGCATAATACTATCTAGGTCCATCCATGCTGTCCCAAATGGTAAGATTTCCTTTTCTTTTTTTTTTACGGCTGAGTAGTATTCTACTATGTAAATGTGCCACCACATTTTTATCCACTTATCTACTGATGGGCACTTGGGCTGCTTCCCTTGGCTATTATAAATAATGCTGCAATGAACATAAGGGTGCATTTATTCTTTCAAATTAGTTTTTCAGGTTTCTTCAGATATATCCCCAGAAGTGAGATCACTGAGTCATAAGGCAATTCCATTTTTAACTTTTTTAGGTAACTCCATTCTGCTTTCAACAGTGGTTGCACCAATCTGCACTCCCACCAACAGTGCATGAGGGTTCCCTTTTCTCCACATCCTAACCAACACTTGTTTATTGATTTATTGATGATAGTCATTCTGACAGGTATGAGGTGATGATTAGTGATGTTGAGCATCTTTTCAAATGTCGTATCTCCTCTTGGGAGAAGTGTTTATTTAGGTCCTTTGCTCATTTTTTAACTTTTTAAATTTTTTCCATCACAATTTATCCCCTCTGTGCCCTCTTCCACCTCCTCACCCCCTCCATCTCCCCAGCCTCCCTGCACAATCACCCCACTGTTGTCCATGTCCATGATTTCTCTTTCATTTTTTATTCTTTTTTGCTCAATCCTCCCATGCCTCTACACCCCCACCCTCACTAGAGCTTTCTGCCTGGAGAACATTATTATGATAAGTGAAATAAGCCAGTTAGGAAAAGACAAGTACCATATGGTTTTACTAATATGAAGAATTTAATGAGCAAACTGAACTACCAAGCAAAATAGAGACAGCCTCATAGAAAGAGAGCAGCAGGCAGCTTTGCCCATTTTTTAATGGATTGTTTGTTTTGTTTGGGTGTTGAGTTGTATAAGTTCTTTGTAAATTTTGTATATTAACCCCTTAGGAAATGTATCATTGGTGATATGCTTTTCTATTCAGTGTGTTAACTTTTCATTTTGCTGATAATTTATTTTGCTGTGCAAAAACATTTTAGTTTGATGTAGTCCCATTTGTTTATTTTTTCTATCATTTCCTTTGCCCAAGGAGATATATTAGAAAAAATATTGCTACAAGAAATGTCTGAGATTTTACTGCCTATGTTTTCTTCTAGGATTTTTGTGTTTTCGAGTCTAACACTTAAGTCTTTAATCGATTTTGAATTTATTACATATGGTATATATCCGTGGTCGGCAAACTGCGGCTCACAACCCACATGCGGCTCTTTGGCCCCTTGAGTGTGGCTCTTCCTAAGCCTTAGGAGTACCCTAATTAAGTTAATAACAATGTACCTACCTATACAGTTTAAGTTTGGCTCTCAAAAGAAATTTCAATCGTTGTACTGTTGATATTTGGCTCTGTTGACTAATGAGTTTGCCGACTACTGGTATATATGGTATAAAAAGGTAGTATAAGGAGGTGGTCTATACCATAAAAAGTTTCATGTGCACTTGAAAAAAAGAGTGTATCTGCTGGTTTGGCATAAAATACTCTGAAGATATCAATTGAATACATCTGATATAGGTGTCATTTAAAGCTGCTGTTTCCTTGTTTGTTTGTTTGTTTGTTTGTTTTTCTTGTCTGGAAGACCTATCCATTGATGTCATTGGGATGTTAAAGTCCCCTACTATGACTGTATTACTGTCAACCTCTCTCTTTATGTCCATCAAGATTTTCTTTATATATTTAGGAGCTCCTATGTTGGTTGCATAAATGTTTACAAGTGTTATAGCCTCTAGTTGGGTTACTCCCTTTATCACTATGTAGAGTCCTTTGTCTCTTGCTGTACCCTTTGTTTTAAGGTCTATTTTATCAGATATAAGTATTACTACTTTAGCTTTTTCTCTTTTTTTTCATTTACATTTGCATGAGATATCTTTTTCCATCCCTTTACTTTTAGTCTGTGTGTATCCTTCATTCCGAGGTGTTTCTTGTAGACAGCATGTGTGGGTCTTGTTTTCTTATTCATTCCACTATCCTAAGCACTATGATTGGAACCCATAAGCCATTTACATTTAAAGTGATTATTGAAAGGTACAGATTTATTGCTGTTTCATTCTTTTAACTATTTTCTTCTTCTTCTTCTTCTTCTTCTTCTTCTTCTTCTTCTTCTTCTTCTTCTTCTTCTTCTTCTCCTCCTCCTCCTCCTCCTCCTCCTCCCTCCTTCTCCTTCTCCTTCTCCTTCTCCTTCTCCTTCTCCTTCTCCTTCTCCTTCTCCTTCTCCTTCTCCTTCTCCTTCTTCTTCTTCTTCTTCTTCTTCAAGCAGACACTTCAATATTTCTTGTAATGCTTGTTCAATGGCAACAAAGTTCTTATGCTTTTCTTGCCTTGGAAGCTCTTTATTTCTCCTTCAATTTTTTAAATGATAGTCTTGCTGGGTAAAGTAGTCTTGGTTATATGTCCTCGATTTTCAGATTTTTGAATATTTTATGCCAATACCTTCTGGCCTGAATTGTTTCTGCTGAGTAATCAGCTGACAGCCTTATGTCAGCTCTCTTATAGGTAACTGACTGCCATTCTCTTGCTGCTTTTAAGATCCTCTCTTTGTCTTTAGCCTTTGCCATTTTAATTATGATGTGTCTTGGTGTGGGCCTCTTTGGATTCATCTTGTTTCAAACTCTGCACTTTCTGGACTTGTGTGTCATTTTCCTTCATCAGGTTAGGGAAGTTTTCAGTCATTATTTCTTCAAATAGGTTCTCAATTCCTTGTTAATTCTCTTCTTCTTCTGGTACCCCTATGATGCAGATGTTCATTTAGTTCATGTTGTCACAAATGTTCCTTAAGCTATTGTCATTTTTCTTAATTATTTTTTTATTGCTTTGATTGGGTGTTTTTTTCTACCTTGTCTTCCAAATCGCTGAATCAGTTCTTTGCTTAATCCAACCTACTGTTTATTCCTTCTAATGAATTTCTCATTTCAGATATTGTAGTCTTCATTTCTGATCAGTTCTTTTTATAGTTTCTATGCTCTTTTTCATGTTGTTGTAGTTCTCAAAGTTTCTTTTAGTTGTCACTAAGTTCATTGAACATCCTTATAATCATTCTTTTGTACTCTATATCTGATAATTTGCTTGCTTTCATTTCACTTAGCTCCTTTTCTGGAGATTTCTTCTGCCCTTTCATGTTTCTTTGTCTTCCTATTTCAGCTGCCTCTTTGTGTTTGTTTCTATGTGTTAGGTAAATATGCTATGACTTCCAGTCTTGGTAGGATGACTTTATGTAGTATGTGTCCTGTGGGACCTTGTGGTACAGTCTCCTTGATCACCTGCACTGAGTGCTCCCAGACTGACCCTTGTAGGAACAGATATTAAATTTTACTTGGCCTTAAATTTTCAAGCAGATCATATATTCTGTCAAAACTTTAAAAATTAAATCACTTGTAGAGTCAAAAATTTTTTTATACTTGCTCATAGCCAAAAGGTTGAAAAACAATCTAAAGGTTTTTTTAAAGGGCTAAATCATCTTTCATAGAACTAAGTAATTTACAAAAATATAAAAATTCAGCCTAGCTGGTATGGCTTAGTGGTTGAGCATTAACCCAGGAACCAAGAGGTCACTGGTTCAATTCCCAGTCAAGCCACATGCCTGGGTTTTGGGCTTAATCTCCCATCAGGATATGCAGGCAGCAGCTTAACAATAATGTTTATCTCTGATCAATGTTCCTATCTCTCTATTTCTCCCCCTTCCTCTCACTCTAAAAATTGATAAAAACATATTTTTTTGAAAAAGAAAAAAAAAACTTCAGTTCATAGATTTATGACTGTCAAGCCCACAATATTTACCAATTAAGTAAAGTTAAGAGCAGAATAGATTTTATAAATTAGTTTATTGCCTCCTATGTATAGGGAAAAATCAATAATCCTATATAATAAAGAGGTGATATGCAAATGGACCATCACACCCTCACAAGATGGCTGCCTATGACCAGGACGGCAGGGGGGTTAGTGAGGGATGACCAAATGACTGAACAAGCAGGCTGTGTGGGGCAACCAGGCAGGCAGGGGGGTTAGTGAGGGATGACCAAACGACTGAGCAGCAGGCTGCATGGGGCAACCAGGCTGGCAGGGGGGTTAGTGAGGGTGACCAGGCGGGCAGGGGGGGGGCGAAGTTGGGGGCAACCAGGCTGGCAGGGGGACAATGAGGGGTGACCAGACCAGCAGTGGGGACAGTTAGGAGAGACTAGGCTAGCAAGGAGGGGGCAGTTGGGGGTGACCTGGCAGGCAAGCAGGTGAGTGATTAGGAGCCAGCGGTCCAGGATTGTGAGAGGGATGTCCCGGATTGGAGAGGGTGCAGGCTGGGCTGAGGGGAGCCCCCTTCATTTACAAATTTCATGCACTGGCCTCTAGTTATTAATAAAATAATCAACTCTGGCATTTATTACTAACATAATTAAATTAATGATGAAAGAAATCATCAGGCAAATATGAAAAATTAGTCTGAAAAAGTTAGAGAAATAAAGGTAAATGCCAAAGAAAATGTGGAATATATAGCTTTCAATTTACTTACCCCAAATAATTAGTCCTATCACTGTAGCAATGAGAATAAGCAGTGCAATGCTCATCAGTCTCAGAGCAGTCTGATGCCACTTTGGACATTCAGGGTAATCTGTAATGATTAATTTTTCTTTCTGAAATACTTTGACATTTTAAATGAACTTGAAAATGTTTCACAGAAATAAAAATTCTGAGGGTACACATTGTCTGAAGGTTGGGGAAGAAATCTAAAATTTTTATTTAAATTTCCTTGACATGCACACATATTTAATGATCATTAATGAATAAGATTTATTTATTTTTAAAAAAAGGTCAATATGCTTTATTTAAGTAAATATTCTTCTTATGTTAACACTTCTGTATCACTTGTACAACAACCAAAAGGGTGGATATTAGCTGATCAATTGGCTAGTCATACCATTTCTACTAAAATTTTTCATTTACCTTCATTTATATCTTGATTGGGTTACACAGATAATATTCAGTGGAGTTAAGGCACAGAAAGGTGAAATATAAGTGGTATCAAAATAATCAAATAATAGTAAAAGCGAATGTCTAATGGAGAAACATAAGAAAAATTGTAGCCATCTTCCCAAATGTTGTTTGAAATAAAGTTGTATATTTATATCAGCTCATAAAACAAAAATAGGATGATAATCTTTATAATTATATACTTTGCTTCAATAAAATAAGCATTATAACACCTTCACAATCTTCAACACAGGTCAAGTCAAATCTGATCTATTACATTCTATTTAATAGTATTCATAAACATATCACTACATGCCAGGAACTGGGCTAGATATAAGCGTTACAGAGATAGAAAACCACACACTCTAGTGCAGATACATCTATGTAAACATATTATTTCAAAATAAGATAACAAATTTTCTGAATAGACTCTAGTTCAAATTCTTAAAAGTTCTTATTAAAAACCTAGGATTGAAAGACCCATAAAGCATACTAGCTCTATAATCTGTGATCTAATGGAGAGTTATGGATTCCTACCTTTGCATGTCCACTTGTGTTGGCAATGATAGGGATGTTTCCTTGGGTTCTGAGTCATTGATCGCTCTGTGTTTTGCTCCTGTCCAAATGTCCTATAAACAGAATAATCCATCTTTGAATTCGATGGAAAGAGAGACATCACCTAATCAAAAGCAGAGTTCCTGCATAAGAACTGTGGCACTGAACAAACCCCAAATCTACATGTAAAATTACAAAGGATGTGGTTAAAGAATGAGGAAAACATCTTTCTTTTTTTAACTTCCACTCAGCTTTAATTACACATTTTACATTTAAATACTTGACCAAAGGTAAGACATTCATCCAATTATTTGATTACAAGGCTCCTTAACTGGGTGGTGGTGGGGGGGCGGGGGGAATCCATTATAAATACTTAATTTGACATGCATTCCTAGAAACAGAGCTAGGATTAAATCTACTAGTTAACAGGTTATGAGTCTCCAGGACAATGTGACATGACTAAAAAATACTCCAGATAACCTTGATCTGCATGTGTTCTTTCCATGTCCATAAAATGAAGAGCTCTTCCTGATCACCAGTTTTCCATACAACAGGCAAGTAAATCTTGTAACACTAGACAGAAATGTCACAGCAAATTGGCTTCTTTCAACAGGCAGAGAGCGAATCTTCACTCAGGATGAATCTGACAGCCAGTGACAGCTTCATTAGTATTCATCAACCCCCAGGATGCTGGCAAGATTGTCAGGTTTTGGCCAGGTAATTTTCCAGCAAATATTCTCCCATATGTTTTGGAATTTTCCTTTGCACCTTAGCATCTTTTTGTAACAGTGTCATTACACTGAGTGCCATTGTTCCAAGAACACAGGACCAACCTCCCAAGTCCAGACACAAAAAAGCAGAAACTTCTTTCTTTAAATAACTTTTACTTTAGGATAATTTTAGATTATAAATAAATTGTGAAGTTATTAATAAATCTAAATATCAGAGTTTCCATATAGCCACACCCAACTTCCCCTAGTGTTTGGTACATTTGTCAAAATTAATAAATCGACATTGATACATTATTATTAACTAAAGTCTATTTACTTTGTATTCACTCTTTACCTAATACTTTTTTCTTAGTTTTTACCTAATGCCTTTTTCTATTCAAAGTTCCCATTTAGGATATCACAATGCATTTAGTTCTCAGGTCTCCTTAGGAAACTCGTGGTTGTGACAGTTTCTCACTCCTTGTATTTGATTATTTTTTTAAAATCTGAGGAATGTTGGTCAGATATTTTGTGGACTGTTCCCAAATTGGAGTAGTTTAATGTTTTTCTCATCGTTATCATTAGGTTATAGGTTTGCAGTGGAAGAAGACAGAGATACATTGCCATTCTTATCACATCTTATGAAGGGTACAAAATATCACCATGGCTTATCACGGATGATATGAGGTTAACTTCAATCACTTGACTATGGTAGTATTTTTCAGGTCTATTTACTGTAAAGTTACTCTTATCCCCATTTCCATACTGTACTCTTTGGGAGGAAGTCAAGATTTATAGCTCACACTTAAGTCAAGAGTCATGTTCCACTTCTTTTCTTTTTAATATATTTTATTGATTTTTTACAGAGAGGAAGAGAAAGGGATAGAGAGTTAGAAACATCAATGAGAGAGAAACATCGATCAGCTGCCTCCTGCACACTCCCTACTGGGGATGT